CCATGCAAATCTCGTCACGTCATGTTGCCGTGACCACGCTTTCTGTCTCAACTTGTGAAGCTTATCGTGACAGCGTGTCGTTCTCTATGTGTGTGGCTAAGATAGCGTTCTTTGCTGTAGCTTCTCTATGCGGTTGAGACGTGACCAGTCTCGAGTCAGTCAACGGTGCGCTGTTGTCTGCTCTTCTCGACTGGGATCTCTTCTGCTACGGAGCTAGCAAGTCTTGCGGGGCAACCGCAAGGCGTATGAAAAGAGTCAAGTTTCTGCGACCAGCCTCTTCGTGAGTGGGAACACAGCAGACAGAACTTGGAAGCATCAAGCAACACTTTTACAGAGAGGCGCTCTCACGTGTCTTCCTTGTCTGTGGGCTGCAAAGCTTGCCCATGGTTTCCGCACATGTGTAAGCAGACTGACAGCCGTAAGTGTATTCAGTCCAACGGCGTGCTAACTAGCCCCACCGTCACACTCCCAGCAATTCTAACAGATACTGGACACAGAAGCTATGAGCACTGGAAGGATCCGGCTGATCACCAGTGGATTGGACGTCCACGGACGCCACCAGCAGATCCAAATCCAAATAGCTACAAGAATCCACATCCAGACTTTCAAACTGTGTTAAAAGCTGACCCACGCGGTTATGATTTTGGGTTCCATACCCTATCACCAAAGGAGCAGGCCATCCAGGTGGCCCAATTAGCAGCCATGACTCCTAGACCTACGGGGTCTAGTTCACCACCTCACACTAGTTCGCAGTCTGACACATCCAACATAAGTGAATCGGACAACAGTGCTGAAGTGCCCACCCTAGTTGCGGGCACTCCACCTGCTGACACTGGAAGTCCAACAGGACTCAGGCCCCAGGCCATCCAGTCAGAGAAGGCTGCTCGCGCAAGCATGACAGACATTGTCAAGCTTGCTTCATGCACGAGCAGGCCTCAGGTCACATGTCAAGGCCATGCATTTGACAGCATGATTGACGAACAGGCATTGACTCTAGGAAACGTCGACTTGACAGTCCACTCCCAGCCA